AGAGCATTCCTCCGATCCAGACCGCTTTGAGGGCATGGGTCGAGCCAGGTTTTGGATTCAGCCGACTTGGCGAATCCTATCTTTTGTGCTTTCGACGTCCTTCTTTGGAAGGCCGTTGAACACGGATCGGGTATACCTCGATGACTTGATTGTCTTCTGGAGTTTGCACACACGCCAGGAGGTGAATGTGGCTGTCTTTGTGGCCCGGTTCCTCTACAGCCAGTCTATGGGAAATCGGATGCACATTGTCTGTGGTTTCGTGGTCACCATACTCTTCCGATCACTCGAGGGGACGGCACCCATTCCGCGGGCCCAGATGATGATGCGAGATTTGGATGCAGGCATGCTGAGGAATGCTCACATCCGTAGGAGGTTGGGAGCTAGCTCTACAGAGAGCAACGCCGCTTCCTCATCTGCGCCCTCGTCCTCAGGAGCATCTTCGCAGGTCTCATCTAGGAGAGCCACTTGTCGCCGTCCCACTTCTCAGGCCACTCCAGCTACGACACAGGCGGATCTGACCCCTGAATGGGCTAGGAGGATCCTGGAGCAGCAGGATACCATCATGTAGAGGATGTCCGAAATCGGAGAGCAGTAGGCATCCCAGGCTGAGAGCTTTGCTCAGGTTCGGAGGACCTTTACTAGCTTTTACTCAGATGTGCACATTGGGCTCACCCCTCGTTCTCTTGAGGGCGACGATCCATCCACCTCAGTTCCTCCACCTCAGTGATCTTTGTATTATTTTCATTTGAAAACTATTTCTCTTCGTTTATGAGCAGGAATTGATGATCAACTGGATTTTTCGGAACTTCTTATTTTTCCGCCGGTAACATCTACTTATGCACTTGCTCCATTTCTATTTCAATCCCTACTTTTTATTGGCGTTGCATGGGAAAGATTCAAGGAGTTGAAGGTTAAATGCCCACCTGCTTTGATTGATTCCGATAGTTTGATGTTCTACTTTTACCAAGGCTTGACAGTTCCATCCAAGAAAGAATTGGACCACTCTTTTAAACTTGGTTCTTTTCTAGAGATGACACCCGAGGAGAATGAGGAGTTGGTAGACAGGCTTACGTCAAATGCTAAGTATTGGTACGAAGACTGAGCTCCTCCTCCTAAAGCTGGCATGTATGAAGTAGACCAATTCACAGCACTCAAGGCTAGTATGGAGAGCATCGTGAAACAAACTATCAAGGAGCACCTAGGAGCTTCCCACCCACATCCCAATCTGTATACTGAACCAGTGAATCAAGCTGAGCTTTATGGTTCTAGTAGTCACCACCAATCCGACCTTGTCTTCTCTTGTGAACACTGCTTTCAAAATCATCTATCTTCTGCTTGTCCCTTGATTGAACCACCCCTTCCGAGCAAGGCTAAGGACGTTAATCTAGCACAATACGCGAATAAAGGGGAAGGGCCTTGGGCCCAGAACAATCAGGAGCATTGGCGGGAGAGAAACAATTTTCCAAGGAACAATCGTCCCAGGGATGACTATAAACAAGGTAACTGGAATAACAATAAAACCAATTACCAAAATACCAACGCACCCTACGTTCCATCTCATAATTGCCAACCTCCGCAAGAAGATTCCTTGGCAAGGATGGAGAAGATGATGATGAAATACATGCAAAAGATGAACAATCTGGCAGATGATTTGAAGGAACGTGACAAGACACGTGATAACCAGCTCCAACAAGTGTTCAAACAACTCGGAGTTAGAGAACAGGGGAACCTCCCAGCTACCACTGAACCAAACCCGAGGGAGCAACTTCGAGCCATAACTTTGAGAAGTGGTAAAGAGCTCCAAGGCCCAGAAGTCGAAGCCAATGTAGATGAAGAACCTGCGGAAACCTCTATAGGAACAACCCCTCAAAAGAAGTCTGATTCCGTACCTCAAGAGACGAGGAAGGAGAAAACCTCCCCTTTCACAGAAACTTAATTATTTCACCAAGATCGTGGATTTATTCTATGACAAATGTATACTTGCTCCCTCGCCTTATGCGATTAGCGGGAGAAGCAGAACCCCTTTTCTGGAGATAGAATTTCCAATTCGTCACTTAAGCGCAATCTTAGCGAAAAATCATGATTAAAGGTTACAAAAAGCAAAAGTTTAATGCAGACCTTTACACATTGTTAAAAATTCTAGTGAAATCAATGGCCTTTTTAAAAGTAATTAGAGTATCTGAGTTAAAAAAAACTTTTAAGAGAATACTAGTTAATTTCAGCAATGGTAGTGATCTATTTGAAAAAAAATCACATAAAAATAGGAGTTTGCCAAAGCCTTGAAAATTCTCAGTTTATATACTTGACACCCTACCAATCAACTATTCAATATTGGACTGATGATTATGCTAAAACCAAAGTTGCCTACAAGTATACAAGTAAAACACGTTTCATTCAATCATTTCAACGAGGTAACTCCCCTCCTCACACTTGAACACAACCGCGTCCCCGCAGTTGGAAAAAAAATGTTACGAGTATAATACCGGGTTGAAATGATTGACTAATAACAAAAGAACTCACACATCAATAAATCAAAAGGAGTCGATTGAAATAAAAAATGGAGCAAGTGCATAAGTAGATGTTACCGGCGGAAAAATAAGAAGTTCCGAAAAATCCAGTTGATCATCAATTCCTGCTCATAAACGAAGAGAAATAGTTTTCAAATGAAAATAATATGAAGATCACTGAGGTGGAGGAACTGAGGCGGATGGATCGTCGCCCTCAGGAGAACGAGGGGTGAGCCCAATGTGCACATCTGAGTAAAAGCTAGTAAAGGTCCTCCGAAGCTGAGCAAAGCTCTCAGCCTGGGATGCCTGCTGCTCTCCGATTTCGGACATCCTCTGCATGATGGTATTCTGCTGCTCCAGGATCTTCCTAGCCCATTCAGTGGTCGGATCCGCCTGTGTCGTAGCTGGAGTGGCCTGAGAAGTGGGACGGCGACGAGTGGCTCTCCTAGATGAGACCTGCGAAGATGCTCCTGAGGACGAGGGCGCAGATGAGGAAGCGGCGTTGCTCTCTGTAGAGCTAGCTCCCAACCTCCTACGGATGTGAGCATTCCTCAGCATGCCTGCATCCAAATCTCGCATCATCATCTGGGCCCGCGGAATGGGTGCCGTCCCCTCGAGTGATCGGAAGAGTATGGTGACCACGAAACCACAGACAATGTGCATCCGATTCCCCATAGACTGGCTGTAGAGGAACCGGGCCACAAAGACAGCCACATTCACCTCCTGGCGTGTGTGCAAACTCCAGAAGACAATCAAGTCATCGGGGTATACCCGATCCGTGTTCAACGGCCTTCCAAAGAAGGACGTCGAAAGCACAAAAGATAGGATTCGCCAAGTCGGCTGAATCCAAAACCTGGCTCGACCCATGCCCTCAAAGCGGTCTGGATCGGAGGAATGCTCTGCCCAAAAGTCAGCAGGATCAACGTCTGCAAGGAGAAGGTATGGTGCAGCCTCGAATTCTGGCACCGACGTTTCCTCCAATGTGTAGAGACCCAAGTGTGTAGCCAGATCGGCGACTGTTAGCTGAAATCCCCGCCCTAGGAGAGTAAAGGTGAGGGTGGTGCGAGAGTCGATGGACTGGAAGTTCAGCGACCTCGACCCTGTAGATGGCTCCAACTCTAGAGAGCACAGAAACTCGATCGTCAGGGGCAGGCTGGATTCAGCCCGCATCGTGAGGAGGCGATGCCACCTCGTCCCTTGTAGCAGCTGCTCCATCTCCTCCGCGTACCCGTAGTCGGCGAGGACTGTCGAGGACAGGTACACAGACTCCATCAAAGAGCGGTGGTGGCCCCACATCTCAAAGCGCTGGATGGGTCCAGAACCCACTAGGTGAACATCGGCACGCGAGGCAGTCAGGTATGCTGGTCTGTGAGGCATCTGCATATGAAACACACATATAAAATCTTGCCTCCCACAGGTGCGACAAGTCTCCGTTCATTTATTCAAAAAAAGGGAATAACAGAAAATAATAATTAAATAAAGAAGAGAGAAATAACGGGTTGCCTCCCGTTCAGCGCTTCTTTAACGTCACTAGCTTGACGCGATTACTTCACTTGTGAAGTTTAACCTCCACTTTCCCTTTTTGAAACTGCTCACCGAAATACATCTTAATCTGTTGACCATTGACCTTGAACGTTCCAGATTCCCCTCTCAACTCTACAGTCCCATAAGGGAAGACTCTGGTGATTGTGTAAGGCCCTGTTCATCGGGAGCGAAGCTTGCCTGGGAACAATCTCAAACGAGATTTATAAAGCAACACTTTTTCGCCTTCGCAAAAGACCTTATTCTGCTTAATATGAGCGTCGTGATAAAACTTCATCCTCTCCTTGTATAGCTTAGCATTGTGGAATGCTAATGCTCACCATTCGTCTAGCTCATCTAGCTGATAAAATCTTTCTCGCTCAGCTTCGGAAGAATCAAGGCAAACATTTCGCAGTGCCCATAATGCCTTATGCTCAATTTGAACCGGAAGGTGACAAGACTTTCCGTATACCAAGTGAAAGGGAGTTGTACCAATTGGTGCTTTATATGCCGTGCGAAATGCCCATAGAGCATCATCAAGTTTTTCGCTCCAATCCTTCCTCGTTCTGGCAACAGTCTTTTCCAAGATTCGCTTTAAATCCCTGTTTGCATTCTCCACTTGCCCTTGAGTCAAAGGGTGATACGCCACTCCTCCTCTATGCTGAACTCCATAGCGTTCTAATGCCTTAGATAATGGATCATTTCGGAAATGGGTACCTTTGTCACTTATTATCAGTCTCGGAACTCCAAATCTTGCAAACAGTTTCTTCAAGAAGCGAACTACAGTGCGGCCATCGTCTCTTTTCCAAGCTTGGGCTTCAACCCATTTGGAGACGTAATCGATAGCAACGAGGATGTATTTATTACCATAAGAACTCGGGAATGGCCCCACAAAGTCGATCCCCCATACATCAAATACTTCACACGGCAGCATGTAATGCTGTGGCATTTCATCTCTCTTAGATATATTGCCCGTTCTTTGACAGCTGTCGCAGGAAGCGGCAAACTGGTTAGCGTCCCTAAAAAGCGTTGGCCAGAAGAAACCTGAGTCCAACACTTTCCTTGTTGTCCTAGCTCCTGAGAAGTGTCCGCCGACTGGGCCACTATGGCAGGCTGCCAAAATTTCCTTTCCTTCTGCTTCAGTTACACATCGCCGAACGACTTGGTCCGCACAGATTCTGAAAAGGTAGGGATCGTCCCAAAAGTAGAAGTGGGCTTCTCGCTTAAGCTTCTTGCTTAGGTGCGGTGTCAGCAAGGTGGGCTCGATCTTTCCTGCCAAATAATTTACATTGTCCGCATACCAAGGCTCCTTTTCTTGTATAGCGTAGGTCCTCTCGAAGGGAAAGGACTCATTCACTATACAATTGCCAAATTGCTCGGCTACTTCCACATCTAGTCGAGACAGGTGATCTGCAGCTTTATTTGCTGATCCTTTTCTATCCTTGATCTGTAAATCAAATTCCAGCAGCAACAAAACCCAACGTAATAACCGATGCTTTGCATCATTCTTTTGCAACAGGTACCGCAACGCCGCATGATCGGTGTAAACGACAACTGGAGAAAGAATGATGTAAGGCCTAAATTTTTCCAAAGCGTACACAATTGCTAGGAATTCTTTCTCAGTAGTTGTGTAGTTGAGTTGTGCTCCTGATAGGGTTTTACTAGCGTAGTAAATTGGGTGAAAGATCTTTTCCTTCATTTGTCCAAGGATTGATCTCACCCAATAAGAATTGGGGCTGAGATCAATTTTTCTTTCAAGGTATTGAATGCTTGTAAACATTCATCCGTAAAAACAAACTCTATACCTTTTTCTAATAGGGCAGTAAGGGGTTTTGCTATTTTAGCAAAGTCTTTGATAAATCTTCTATAGAATCCCGCATGCCCTAGAAAACTTCGGATGGCCTTTACGGAATTCGGTGGTGGTAGTTTCTCTATAGTCTCGATCTTAGCACGATCCACCTCTACCCCACGACTTGATACCTTGTGACCTAAGACTATCCCTTCCTTGACTAAGAATTGGCACTTTTTCCAACTAAGAGCTAGGTGAGTTTCCTCGCATCTTATGAGAACCTTTTCCAGATTACCTAGGCATTCGTCAAATGACTTCCCTGTGATAGAGAAATCATCCATAAAGACTTCCATAAAATCCCCTATAAACTTTTCGAAAATAGCTATCATACACCTCATGGAGGTGGCAGGGGCATTACAGAGTCCGAATGACATTCGACGAAATGCAAAGGTTCCGAAGGGGCAAGTGAAAGTGGTCTTCTCCTGGTCTTTGAGGTTTACATGGATTTGGAAATAACCACTCATCCCATCCAAGAAGCAATAGTATGCATGGCCAGCTAGTTTCTCAATGAGTTGGTCAATAAAAGGAAGGGGAAAGTGATCTTTGCGTGTGGCATCATTTAACTTCCTATAGTCTATGACCATTCACCACCCAGTCACCGTTCTTCCTGGAACTAACTCTCCTTTCTCATTTTTGGTTACTGTCATCCCTCCCTTTTTCGGAACAACATGGATTGGTGGCACCCATTGGCTATCTGAAATGGGATAAATTATTCCAGCATCCAAGAGCCTAATCACTTCTTTCTGTACTACTTCCATTAATTTTGGATTCAACCTGCGTTGAGCCTGCACAACTGGTTTAAATCCGTCCTCAATGGCTATTTTATGCGTGCAATAAGCGGGGCTTATTCCTTGAATATCCTCTAGTTTCCAAGCAATTGCTTGCTTGTGCATACGGAGGACAGCTAGTAGTTTTTCCTTCTGATCAGGTGTTAGATCGGAGGCTATGACAACAGGGCACTGACCCTCACTATCGAGGAAAGCATACTCGAGGTGTGATGGTAGGGGTTTAAGCTCTAAGGACCTAGATTCATTTGTGGGTTCGGATCGCGTTTTGATTTCACACACCTCCTCACACTTAGGTTCTTGGAAAGCAATTTCTAGGCTTAGGAGATCTTCTACAGATCCCTTATCCTTTATAACTTTAACTGAGTTGTAGAACTCAGCTCGGTCTGGAGTTCGATTCATGACGCTCATCATCTTAAAAGTGACATCTTCATTGCCTACTCTCAGAGTTAATTCTCCGTCGTGTACATTAATTAATGCCTTTGCAGTCGCGAGGAATGGTCGCCCTAGTAATAGCGGCTTTTCTTTATCTTCTTCCATATCTAATACCACAAAATCAGCAAGAAAGATGAACTTATTTACCTTCACAAGTACGTCTTCAATCACCCCCCTGGGGTAACGAATAGAGCTATCTACTAATTGAAGACACATTTGAGTGGGCTTAAGTCCAGTCAATCCCAACGCTTTCATGATAGAGGAAGGCATTAAATTAATGCTAGCTCCTAGGTCAGCTAGAGCGTCTCCAAAGGTTCTATCGTTGATGGAGCAAGGGATGATGAAACACCCAGGATCCTTTCGTTTTCTAGGCATTTCCTCAAGTAACATAGCAGAGCATTCAGCATTTAAGCTGACAACTGGGAATTCCTCCCAATCCCTCTTCTTAGTTACGAGGTCCTTTAAGAACTTACCATATTTGGGCATCTCAGTTAATACATCTACTAAAGGCATTTTGACCTCAACTTGGCCAATAATGTCGAGAAACTTTTGGAAAGCCTTCTCGTCCTTGTTCTTTTTCACCCTAGTAGGGAAGGGAATACTGTTCAGCTGAGGTTGCCTGGTTGGTCGGGGTTGGCCTGAGGAGGTTTCCTCCTTCCTCGTCTCTTGAGGTACGGAATCAGACTTCTTTTGAGGGGTTGTTCCTATAGAGGTTTCCGCAGGTTCTTCATCTACATTGGCTTCGACTTCTGGGCCTTGGAGCTCTTTACCACTTCTCAAAGTTATGGCTCGAAGTTGCTCCCTCGGGTTTGGTTCGGTGGTAGCTGGAAGGTTCCCCTGTTCTCTAACTCCGAGTTGTTTGAACACTTGTTGGAGCTAGTTATCACGTGTCTTGTCACGTTCCTTCAAATCATCTGCCAGATTCACTACAAGAATTTGTCTGGTCTGCAACGGAAATCTGCTACGGACCTATTTCCGTAGCGGATCTGCAACGAATCTGCGACGGACGAATTATTTATGAAAAATGAAAGTAATCTTCAACGGAATTTCATATTCCGTCGCAGATCTGCAACGGAAAATAGAGTAGTATCGCAAATCTAGAGACGACCAAGTTGGTCAAATTTTTCAAAAAATATCTGCGACAGTTTAATTATTCCGTCGCAGATCTGCAACGGAATCTGCTACGGGAAATATTCCGTCGCGGATTTTTAATAAAAATCGGGATCTCAGTCTCACAACTCAAAATCAAAATCAATTCACTCGCCATCCCTTAACCCCCGTCAGCCGTCCAGCAGCGCCTTCCCTCGCTGTCCTCCTCGTCGCGCTGTGCCAGCGCTCG